AATTTATAGGATTTCATTCATATGTTAAAATGTATTACTCTTATATTTATGATTGTTTATCATTAAAAAAATAACTAGTGTTGAAAATACGTTCTTTACTCATTTACTTTCTTTAGTCTATACATCACTAGTTGTAATAATTTGTAATACATGGAACTGGCTGGTATAGAGATTAATGTTAAAATGTTTAAAGTTTTATCACTCATAGTGTGGCCCCAAATGGCTCCAGTGTGCAGAGTAGGTATTGTCTATAGATGGTAGTTCAATGCATATTGCTTGAATATTGAAAAAGTGGTTGTTAAATTGATCGATTAGAATATATACCAAACTATTGATTTAATAATCATTTTTTCAATATGATTGACAGAGGTCACAAGTGCTTTATCTCTGATACAAATACAAACTGTATTATACAGCGTTTATACTTAAGTCACATAGCATTTATCTAGTTCATAATCAACAGTATTAGCCTGTAAATTAGCCTAATGTTTGTTTTTATAGGTAAAGCACTTGTGACCTGGGCTACTCATATGCAAATTCTAACTATTCAAATATAGGTAATATATTCATTATAAAGTATATCTTATCTAATAGTTCAATAAATATTATTTGAACATCGGGGAAAATATGCATACACAATTGAACAATAACATAACTACCCAGTGTCAAATCGTTTAAGGCCATAATGATAGCACTGGCCGCTGACGAGCAGGCGGTGTCCACCGTCATGGACGGGCCGTGCAAATCGAGTGCAAACGATATTCGGTTGGCCAGTAGGCATTTCATGTTACCAAATGTCTTGAACGCGACCCGCGACAGGGAGGTGGCCGAGTCCGGTTGCACAGCATCAGGGTAGCCGTCGCTGCCTGATATCGATACGTGACCCACATATACGCCAGTATTGCCGCCACGCAGGTCCTGCGGATTGGTGCCTGGTTCATTTAATGGCAACAATAGTTAATGTACTTTTATATTTTGTCCTAGGTTCATTGTTTGTAGAATTTCAAATTGATATAGATCATTTTTGAATATATTCAAGTTAAAAAGATATATCTGTTTAGATAATATGTATGAGTCGAAAGTATAAAGACCTCTAAATATTTTTAAATGTGTCTAATATTCATACTATTATTTAGTAAGCAATGTGTAAGCAATACAAATAGACTCAAGCACAAAAATAAATACAAGTGTATAAAACTTTGATTAAACTTTCGACCCATACATGTATAATACATCCGCAATTATGTAAGATTTTTAACATAGATATGTCTGTAATAACTCGTACAAAATGTGATAAATTTTTCAGTGATAAATCATTTTAGGTTTATGTAATCCTAACATATTGTATATAAAAAAATATTATTTACTCGATAAATTGTAAATAGAAAATAAATTGCACTAGGTCACCTGAGTCCACGATAGCTTCATAGGCCACTTCCAACACTATGCGCGCCTGGGGGTCAATCTCGCTAACCATTTGGTCGGGTAACCCGAAAAAGCTTGCGTCAAACTTATTGAAATCCGTAATCTTCCCAAAACGGGAATTCATGCCGTATAGACCTACAGTGTGAAAGGTAATTTTTCAATTATAAATATAGCGTTAATACATAAATACAAATTAAAATATGAGTGCAATTATGTTCAACTCTATACTGGGATCAGTCATATGGAAACGACACTGAAGTTTGCGTTTTATATGAATGAATCACACATTTCCATACCTGTCGGCCATCGGCTGTCATCGGCGGTAACCATATCGACGCCGTCGTACAGATTGCGGGCCAACTCGTCGGTGGTGTCCGACAGAGGGAACCGACCGGACATACCACTGATCACCACATCATTTGCCGACATATTTGCTATTATAATGTTTTATTGATTCTAATATAAAGGCAATTAAAAATATTATTTCAATGCTTTTATATATCATGTGAAGGTTGATTTTAATAATATATATCAAACTAAAAACTTTAAAAAACTTAAAACTAAAAATTTATTTTACAAACCAAAATATATTTATAATTAAGAAATATATAGGTACTATATTTTAATTATTTTAATATGTCAATTTAACTTTAATTTTAAGACATATGACCGTTGAAGGGCATCTGTTAAAAATAATAAATTTTAATTATATAGAAAATAATTAAATTTAATTATATAGAAAATATTTAAATTTAATTGTATAGAAAATATTTAAATTTATTGAATATGTTAGCAACCGTTTTTTAATATTTCTACTTAAATTACTCAATAACTAAAATAATTGCATATATAGTAGCTAATTCTTAGATTAATTATAAATTTAATGAAAACAAGGTTTGACATTCAATTTTCATGCCTAACCGCAATTAGAATTTATAAACTATAAATAAATTTAATTGCAATTATTAAAACTACTTTTGTATATTTCCAGTATTATTATTAATAATATGTTTTACTCACGTAATCAAGGTTAAAATGCTCACATGAGAGATAGCTTGCAAAATATTTATGCAAAATAAGTTAATAATTATTTAATTTATTTTAAGTAAACGTAATTTAATGAAGATTTCATAAATGTATTTTGAATGTTGTTTAAATTAATTTCCAATTATATATTTTATTATTGTGGGTATCAATTATAGTCAAAGTATAATTTTATAAGTATATAAGTCAAATTATATTTGCAAAGCTGAGTATTTGTGCAATTTGTTGTTCACCGAGGCAAAAGGTTTGTGGATATATTTTGAACGTTTTACTTATAC